CACCTCCAGTATTCTGACAGGTCTATAATTTTATCAGTACTCCCTCCAGCAAACAGTCCAGATTGCAACCCATCCATGCTTTCTATACCTTGCAATTCTTGTTCAGTGACCTCTGTAATTCCTCCATTCAGGAGCTACCCAACATCAGAGACCTTCCTATACATACTGGGTTCTTAACTGGGTTCTGTGAACTTTTAAAAAATATTTTGATAATGATATTTCAATATAATTGGTTTTCTTTGTAATACTATGTGTTTTATTTTATGCATTGAAAAACATGATTCCGGAGAGGGATCCAAAGACTCCAACAGATGACTAGAGGGGTCCATGACATAAAAAAGGTTAAGAACCCCCTTCTCTAGATCTTTTCAATATTTCTCAGATAACAGTACAACATCCAGTCCGTCTGTCCCTTGAACGTGCTGCATGATAGAGGCTGGCCTTCTTTTCTTATCACACATGTCCTTGATGACACCTTTTATTCCACTTCCTATACTAAGCTATTATCATTGATGATGTCTCGTACAACCTACTAACAACATCCATCTATCTTTCCACTGTGGTATTAGAACACAAGTACTTTAGTCATTAACATAACATGCAGGACTTTCTTTTCAAACTTGAGAACTATTAAAAAGACTGAGTGAGCAGACTAATCAACACTTATCATTTGCTCACTATACGCAAAGTCTAGTACACCTGGGCACTACAGGGAGACATAAGGGAGAGGGGAAAAGGCCAGGTCTAGGCCTGCCCTCAAGAAATCTGCAGTCCAGTTAGGAAGCAAGACAAGGGATCGGATATGACTTACTGGCACTTAAAGGAATATAAAAACAAACAATTTAAATAAGGCCAACGGAATTTTCAGATTTTAGGGGAACACTTTCTGAAAAGACCAGATGGTTTTAGGGAAAGTTTTCTGGAGAAGACTGGTTTTAAAAGAGGTTGTTGTTTATCGTGTCCAATTCTTCACGACCCCATGGACCATTATTGTTCATGGGGTTTTCTTGGCAAAGATACTAGAGTGGTTTACCATTTCCATCTCCAATTCATTTTACAGAGTTTGTATTTTACTGAGGCACACAGGGTTAAGCGACTTGCCCAGGGTCACACGGTTAGTTTGGATTTGAACCCATAAAGATGAGTCTGCATGATTCCAAGCTCGGTGCTCATGCACTTCACCACCTAGTTGTCTTACCTCTCACTTGTACTTACTATTGCAGCGTCTCCCAATTGATCTCCCTGACTGGTCACTTCCCTGGAGACAATCCATCTTCCACACAGTTGCCAAGGTAGAGCAAAGATCTGACCTCGTCACTTCCCTTTTCAAACTTCAGGAGCTTCAAATACAAATTCTGCCATGTTTAGTCTTGAAAATCTTCACAACTGAGCTCCAACCTGACTTTCTGACCTTGCTAGACCTTCTCCCCATAATGCACTCTTTGGTCCAGCCAAATTGGACCTTTTGCTTTGCTATATCTTATCTCAGAGCCTTTGTCCAGTCTGTCCCCACTGCTTACCTGGAATATACTTGCTCTTTACCTTCATCTCTTAGAGTCTTTAATTTCCTTCAAAACTCAGCTAACATGTCACTTTCTATACCAAACTTATTCCTGATTTCCTAGCTGCTAAGATTCTCCCCCCCAAAAAATTGTCATGTATTTGTTTTGTATATATTTATAACTGCATGTGTCATTTCCTCCTATAGAATGTAAGCTCCTTGAGGGCAGGAACTATTTCATTTTGGGGTTTATATCTTCAGTGCCTATGTGACATATGTTTAAATATGTACATGTGGTATGTGCTTAATAAATTCTTGTTAACTGATTACTAATGAGAAATGAGGCCAGCACAATGGGAAAGGTCTACTTGGTAGACAGCCTCAAAGCCAACACAGAGGAAATTAGATTTGGTATAATAAGTAACTAAAGACTCATGAAGCAAGAGAATGGAACGAAATAAAGATAAGGAAGCAAAAATCCACAGGACTACAGGTCACAAAGCCAATCCTCCCAAAAGGCATTCTGAATGAAATGTCCAATCTCTGAATTCCTGAAAACTATGTGGTACCAAACTCTTAACAGCAGTTTTAAAAGGTAGGGAAACCCCAAACATCAAATGCAAACTGCCATATTTCTAAGCAATTCAGAAATGAAACCATATGAACCCTTAGAACTTAATCTTTACCTCAAATTAACGTAATTTTCTTTATATGCTCTTGGCATCAATACTGATCAGATTATAAAGTCTTTTCAGGAGCAAGAACTGTGTCTAATCTGGATTTTTAAATTCTATAACACCCAATCACGTCCCTAAAATGTGATTTTAGTAATGACTTCAATGATGGGGAAAGACAAGGCTACAAGAGGGCTCCCTTTTTCTAAAGAAGATTTTGTAACATAATTTGGGTCACCTACTCAGCTAAGGTCTGCTTCTCTTATCTACTCAGTAAATTAGAGATATTATACTTTTTAAATAAAATATTACAGATCCATCCTCCAAATATCAAAATTCTTTATGCCTTCAAAACAATGTTCATATTTCGCTCTGCCTTCCATTTTTTTGTCAATAAAAGTTGACCAAGCATACTCTGCAAAGGGTGAACTCCAGTTTATAAACCAGATTTATTATGATTTGGTACTCTCCAGTCATTCTTGTGTTAACATTAGAAGACTTTGAGATCGATTTGGACATGTCTCTTGGCTCTTGGGTGACAGTGAGAGCCTCAGTCATATATGGGGCAGGCCACAGATGGTCAGTCCCAGTTTTTCCCCAGCATATCATACTACTCTGCATTCCCTGGGTCAGAGGTTTCAAGGCTGCCCTCTTCCACACAAACTGGAAAAAGAGAACATGAGCTATTTTCAACAATCAGATCTGTTAAGGAACCCTAAGCAGCAAATCAAAGAGACTCATTTGATAAGGACTTCCTTTAATACGCTGGGCTTCCCACCAGTATTTTCACTCTGGAAGGTCAGGGAGCTGGGAAATGGGGAAGATGCAATTTAGCATCTCCAAGTAAGTACAGTTAAAGAAATAAAGAGGGAGTGGGGTGGGGGTGGGAAGTGTCCAGTATTACTGGACCAAACATTCCTCACACCTTATTTTTCTGTGGGGGGAAGGGAATACTCATGATTCCTCATTCTATACTCCTGCACCATAATATGTGGTGCCATCCGTCCACATGCTGGGAATCTGAACAGGGATAACAAAGGCTGGTTGGCTTTAGGCAGTAACAGCAGACTCAAAACGGTTGTCGGATGCGTCCCAAACAACCCCTAACCCACTGTGGCTCTACCATCCGTGAACATCTGAATCCTTCCTGAATTTACTTTTTCATACATACTTTTTCATACTTTTTCATCTCGAGTCAAGCGCTTCACGCTTATTACCCACCATGCAAGCTTGGCATGCCACCCTCTCATTTGTCATCCTCAGAATCCTACGATGACCTTCAAGTTTTAAGGGGCTCTCTCCTCTTCTAACTTTTGAAATTTGACAAAAAATCTAAGTTCATCATCGGCTTCTGATCTCCTCTCAGGAGGACACCTCTAAGGTCCCTTCCACCTCAGAATCTATGATCCTGCGATCCCAAGCCATTCCCCTTCTCTAGGCCTCAGTTTCCCTCCCTGGAAAATGACTGGGCTGGACTGGCTGGCCTCTCAGCTCCCTTCTAGCTCTTTATCTACAAGGTTTTCCAAGCTGAGGGAGCCTCTATTTTCTCCTACTTTGTCCTCATAGGGAAGCATCAGCGTTTGATAGGCATATGGTATGTGTTTGCTTATAAAGTATTTGTGGCATTACTATAATTCCTAGGGCTAGCACATCATTTTGAGTAATCACCAGTGTCTTATAAATGTTTGTTAAATAACTGTTGAAAGTGGGGAGGGGGGGTTGGAGAATGGAAAACTATCACTTCTCCAGAATGTTCTGTCTAGATACTGTCAGAATGATATGTTGCCATAAAGGCCACAGTTCCCCAAGTGTTCAGGCACAGATTTCCTGATTCTAAGGCCTTGCATAGAAAGGGGGGGGAAATTCCATTGTTTTAATAAGGATTCCAGCTATCTTTAGAAAAGATCTAAGAGGGGCAGGGGAGAGGATTCTAGTTTTTGACTTCCTGAGGAAAGGGGGAGAAGGCCCCGCTCTAGGGAATGCCTCAAGATTAGAAGGGAGTTCGTAAGCTTGCTCTCATCTTTTCTAGGGAATGCTGCAGGTAAACCACGGGCTAAGAATTGCCTTCTAAAGAGATACCCACTAATGTTGACTATGCACATGGCACGCGCTCCCCCTCGCGGCCAACGAAATTGGACAGAGAAGCGCAGCGAGCCGAGGCGACGACCTTATTTCCAGATCGTGTTCTTCCCTGGACAGCGTTAGCCTCTCGGAGGCTGTTGGTAAAAAAAATTCTCAGGTGACTGAATTCGCACCTGTTGCCCATTTCACTGGGCACCTAAGGCCCTGCGTGATGACAACCCGGATTCCCCAGCTCGTCCCCAGGAGAGCCTGGGGAAATCGGCCGGGATCAGCAGGCCAGCATCTGTGCCTCCTTCACTGACCAGTGTTTCCTGGTCTGAGAATGGCCTTCATTCTTCTCCGTCCCCAAGCCTCAGTTTCCTCCTCTGTAAAGTGAGGAAGTATGGATTCAGTGAGCTCCCAGGTCGCCTCCAGCCCGAGAGCTCTACTCCCGTGGTCTTCCCCAACAAGAACCCCTGCCTCTCTTTCCCGGAGAGCGCTCAGGCAGCCCCGCGATGCCCATTGCCTGGGTCCCAGGGCTGGTTCCCAGGATACGCCTGACTCCTTCCCACTGGTGAGGTCTACATTCCGTGGCGCGTCAAGGACGCGGGGAGGGGGGGGGGATGGACTAAAAGGTGCCTGGGAAGGAGGGAGGAAAGCAGGGAGACAGGGGAGCAGCCCAGCCCCGGAAAGGTGCCGCAGCCGCGGCGCTCTGGCCACCCCCAAGCCCGGGCAGGGGCAGTGCTCTCCCCCAGCTCACTCACCGGCGGTGTGCGTAGCCGCTGCCCGGAGGTGCGGGGCCGTGCTCCTGGTAGTTGTGCTGCAGGGCTGCGGACGGGTACGGGTAGAGGAAGCCGGTGCCCACCGTACAGCCGTAAAGGCAGCACGCCCAGGGGAGGAAGAGGGACAGCTTCATCGCGGGCAGGGGGCCGGGGTCCCACACGAATCAGCCTGCCCACTAAGGACTCGCCCCTCGGCGCCCCGCTCCGCCGAACGGGGGAGACATGGGGAGCCCCGGAGACCTGGGAAGGGAGTGGGGGGCGGCGATCCGGCCGGGTACGAGGGCGAGGGGCTCGGCGCCTCTGGGCCCGGGGTCCCGACTCGAGGCAGAGATGCCCAACGCTGTTCAGAGCGCCCACGCGGCCAGGCTCGGGCTCCGGAGCCGCCTTTTCAAATTCGGGGAGGTGGGCTGCGCTCAGTCCGTCAAAAGGGGCGTGGGGTTTCTCCATTAACCCTTGGAGGCCCGGGAGCCAGCGGTGCGCAGGTGGGCGGGGACCGGAGGAGGCGGCCCCACCACCGCCTGCCCCCGCGGCTCCCCTCTGGCCCCGTGCGCTCCAGACCAGCTTGGCAAAGGGGCCGCACCCCGGATTTCTCTCCAACCTCGTAGATAAAGAGCTAGAAGGGACCTCAGAGGCCCAGTCCGGCCCAGTCATTTTCCAAGGAGGGAAACTGAGGCCTAGAGAGGGGAAACGGCTTAGGATCACGGGATCATATAGATTCCGAGCTGGACCTTAGAAATCATTTAGTCCTACTCCCTCATTTTCCAGGGGTGGAAACTGAGGCCCAGAGAGGGAAACGACTTTCCCAAAGTCACAAAGGGCTACAGATTGAACGCGTGTCCTTTATCTTCGCCATTTGGGGGAGGTCCTTCCACGTATAAGGCAGGGATCTTCTCTCCTACATTTTACCCCTTTTTAGCTGGCGCTCTTAGAATGTCCCGGAGCAAACCTCAAGCACCCCCTCCTTCACACAGGGTGGAATCTAAGGCCGAGAACAAGAAGGTGACTTTTGCCCAGTTACCCAGTTCGCAACGCCATAGCAACAAAAGCCCGGTCTTCGACTGCCACCAGGCAGGGCGCCTTCCACTTTAGGTCTCCACTGGCTGGCGGAGGCGGAAGGAGTGGAGCATTGGGCACTGACGTGGTAGGAATTTTCTTCTGTTTTAGCCCTCCACCCTCCCAATCTGATCTTTTAGCCAGTACTTCCCTTGAGAGCTGCGAGGGTTGGACACACTCCTGTCCTGCCCCAGAGCGCCACGTTTTGTGACTATCTAAATGCAAGGTAAGCAGTGAATGGAAGTTAAGAAAATAGCCTCTACAAAAAGAGCTGTAGGGTCTCTTGTTCTGCCCTAGGCCTGACAGATTAACCTGGGATTTGGGGGGATCACAGGCCTAGAGACAAAGAGTCCCTCTGAGGCAGTCCACTCCACTTTGTTCTGTTTATGAAACCCCGAGCCCGTCGGTGTAGGGCTCTTTCCTTATTGATGGAGGGCGAGGGGCAGGGTGGGAGGTGAAAGGCAGGGAGGGAGTCCTCTTCCGACTCTCCAAGCTTCAAATCTTCGTGACTCCAAGTTTTGCCACTTCTGGCTTCCAGGGAGAAGATGGAAGAGGGCAGCCCACTTCCGGTTACTGAAGGAAAAGACTGGGGAAACATCATGTCCTTATTCCCAGTTTGCTACACGAGAGACCAGGGCGAGTTTTCCATGTGAGGGAGACCTAGGACGCCCTGTCTTGGTTGAGCCAAGGCATCTTGCTCCGAATGGCGAGTTCCTTCGCTCTGTATTGACTGGCATGTAGCCTGTTGCGTAGGTCTCCGAGTTCTGTTTTGCTATCTGGATAAATCAGTGTCTTTGCTATTCTCAGTGTTCGTGGAACTGGTATTTAATGGGTAAGGTGTCAAGCCTTGGCTGTAGAACTTGGGGTCCTTCTTCTTCCCCAAAATGACAAAACCATCAGAAGTTTACTGGAACCAGTCATATGCCCTAGACTAATAGTATTTAAGGGAGTAGGTAGATTAACTTCTATTTCAGTAACCCCTCTCTGAGGAGATCAGAGTGGCCTCCAGCCCCAACTTTCTCCTTCCGCTCCTGAAAGGACTGAAAGTCTCCCTTATTGAAGAGGGAGGAGAGAAGAGGCCAGAGAGGTCTCTTCTGCCTCCCTCTGAGCCCTTGCCCCAAATGGGCCTCTCAACATGTTCGGGGCCCATGTGGGGAAGGCTCTCCTCTATACTTGGGATCTTCCCCTGTATAGAGATGAGGAAAGAAACTTTATGCCCAGAGATTCAAATGACTTGCCCAGAGTCACACAGGTAGTTAGTGACACAGGCCAGGCCCTCCAAGGAACAGTGATCAGTCTGCTGGATTCCACCCTATACTCTTCCTCCAAACATTTTCAATCCCTACCTGGGTATTTTTAAAATATAACAGCAAACTTCATTGCATTTCAATTCAGCATCTAATCATAGATACTATACTTGATAACCTGCAATAGGGTCCCCATCCTTTGAAGGTCCAAGAGATTTGGAGCAGACATGGTAGATCATGGGAGCATTTTAAGTGCCTTCCCCCAGGTGCATTTGAACTGTGCCCCTTCTGGCTGTTGGCCAAGCCCCAGTAAATGAGGGATTAATTCTCTCGAAGTAATTTTGTATGAGTTATGGTTTCCACTTTTCCTTGTTTTGTGTGCCTAGTAAGATCTGCTGAGAAGTGGCATTACATTTCAGTGTAACAAACAGTAAGGGAACAGGAGGTTAGCTGCCATCCCAGACGCCTTTTTCCTATGCCATCAATTCTCCCTGAGCCAGAGGAACAGAGCAGTTGAAGAAAGGCAAGGATGATGTAGATGATATAGATGCAGTGGGCCCCAACTTCCCTCCACCTCACCCACTCCACCCCCATCCCCAACATACACGGCCTCACCCCCTGCCTATGCCACCCATAAGGCTCACACTGAGGAGTCACTCCATTACTCAAAGACCAATGAATGCTCCACTTGCTTCATGCTAGCCCTGTCCTATCAAAGAGGACACTGGGAGTCTGGCAGAACGAGGGCAGAGTCACCTTCCCAAACTCTCCTTCAGTAAATAGTCACTGATTTTGTGAGCTGCTTTTACACACACACACACACACACACACACACACACACACACACACACAGGCTCAGTGGTGCCAAGGGAGCCGCCTATGACTGTCCCCAGGGTTTGGATACTCGCCTCTCACAGAAGCTCCTGGCTGCATCCTCACTGCCTTTAATTTCATTCAAGTCTGCATGTTAATCTAAAATCATTACACTCACACACAATCGAATGGAAAGAGTGGATTCGGGATCAGGACAATACAAGGAAGCTGTGGGCTCCTTCTCATTCCATTTAACAAATCACTTATTTCTTTTTGAGCCTCTGTTTCCCTCTCAGCCAACTGAGAAAAATATCATGCTCCGTACATACCCATGTCATCATGTTGGGGTGAAAAAGTGATGTAGACATGTGGTGGATTTGAAAGTGCTTTGACAAAAAGGTTCTTCTAACTAGAAAGTATATTGGTTGAGAAAGGAAAATGCCAAATATCCAGGAGCCCTAGCATCAGTGATAATTCCATATCTCTGTCTCTTTGTTTTGATTTGTAGGGTGCTGGCAAATGGGTCTTGAGACTTTCCAGCTGATAGGAAAAGCTGGAGCATCCTATTCAGTCGACAAAAAACAGAGATTAGCTTTTGCTGAAGTCAGCATCAAGATTCATTGAAGGGAGAAGTAAATACTCACCAAGTTGAAGCCAAGGTAAATATTGACCTTCTAGCATAATAAATTCTCCTGGTAATCTAAAACAGAAGTCCTTCCCCCCCTCTCCCCTCGGGATTGCCCTGTGCAGCACGATTTAGTAACACCACTGGCCAAGGGGGCGAAAAAGGGAGGAATGGGCATTTGGTCAGAACCCTTCCCCCCCCAAGTCCTCTTGCCCCCTTCACGATGCCCAAACTCCTATCATGGATCAGAGGTCACAGCAAAATCTCTCAATAGTAAAGGAAAAAAGAGTTGAACAACTTAAAGGATTTTTGTTCTAATGGAAAGTGTCCCAAGCTTTCTCTCTTTGGGCAGGGGATATGGTACATGTACAATCTGGTTCTCAAGTTTTGCTCCTTTAGCTAGACACAAAAGCCCTAAGTGATTTTCTCATTATGCCCCCAAGTGCACCAAAGCCTAACTAGCTTCTCAGAACTACACTAGCGAATTTTACATGCAGCACCAGCCCAGGACGCAGCTTCATTTGTTTTACCTGCCCTGGCAATCAAACTTGATCCTCACCACAACAAGGCAGTATTTCAAACAGTGGAAGTTTGAGAAGAAAATTATACACACACACACACACACACACACACACACACACACACACACACACACA